GCGTATTTCACTAAAAAAAAAATACGTCAAAATCAGAGACTAAATATATTGAGAAAAAGATCGAGTCCCTGTTTGAGAATAGCTTTGTCCAGTGGTGACAAGTTCATTCAAAAGTTGATTCGATATTCAAAGACCTCTTACCATTATTACTATTTTCGTGCAAGACGTCGTCAACTGACAGACAGACTCGTTTCTAATGGATGCATATTGATGAAAATAATGGGAACATTTTACGATCGTCATAAAAATTTTATTAAGAATTATTTCTCTGTGCGATATGAACCTGACGTGTTTGATGCACGTCAGTTTGCCTGTTGGTTCCGTTGTTGTATACCTTTTCTCATTGGATAACCTTACACTACTTACTTGGATTGACCAATATTAACATGACGAGTGTCGTCGATGAAGCGGAGAACGCTTACTCTTCCGGAATACCTGTTCTTATTCCCCTTGGACTTTGTTATGAGTAAAAATGTATGTAAAAAGTTTCTTTTGTTCGGTTTTTGCCCTAGTTTACTGACTTTGATTTTTGATTCATGATTATGTTGACATGTCGGTATTTTTACACTTACATAAAGTCACAGAATGTGCTCACCGTTATATACTAGTAATGATAACAGAACTAAAAACATCGTTCATCTGTTCTGAAGATAATAATTAGATTACTATATTGCAGGAGTTAAAGAAGACAAAAACTAAATGCCTTGAACAAACTTGAAAGTCGGTCGTCTACGCATATACAAGATATCGAGAATCTAGGGCCTTTGGTTATTGGGTAAAAGTGTTTTGAAAAATGTTTACGTACTTGACCTTGTAAACTTGAAGGACTGCAAATACAACAAACTTCATGCAACCATGTAGTTAACATAACTAGCAAGAGGTCCATTTAAAAAACGTCTGGTGGAAGGCGGACGCTATAATACGGAAAAGCAATTATTATATCAACAGAAACTAAACAGGTGGTCAACATATATGAACCCATACCTGCCACACGATTCGTTGTGCTTCCGTCCTATCTATCGTACAGTTTCCGTATCCGTAAACCACTAAAGCACCTCCAGGTCGAAGAACTCGTTCAACCTCCTTGAAAAACCGCGGCCTATCCATCCAATGAAGAGCTTGAGCAGTGGTCACGAGGTCTACCGTTTCGTTGTCTAAGAAACTTAAGTCTTCCGCTGGACCAACACTGAAATCAATGCTGGGCGCATGCTTTTTGGCTTCTGTTATTTGCTTTTCGCTAATGTCTCTACCGATAACAGCTTTGAAAATGTTTGTAAGAGGAACAGTACTTTGACCATTTCCACAGCCGATGTCTACGGCTGTGTCACACCCACTTGCTTCCGGAAGTTGACAATATGTCTTGATTTCGTCATAAACCTCACTCGTGTATGTTGGCCGGTATTTGGCATAGAGTTGGGCGTGGTTTGCTCCTTCAAACAAACGGATACTCATTCCGCGTGCATATAATGGCCGAAATACGACGGGAAATGCAGTATACCGGCATACAGCCTTAGTGATGTTCCTAGTTTTGACGAAGCCAAGGAAAAATCTCATGTCATGTCCAGATGAAGATTATAAAAGGTTGTCTTCTTACAGTGCACAGCTAATTGTGTGATCTCTGGAATCAGCAAAAAAAAAAGTCGCTCGACTTCAAATGTGAACATTAAAAAAGGTACGTTAGTGTATCACACGTTAAATCTTACATCAGGCCAGAAGATCCAACAACACATGTCATCTTTATCAAAACTGTTATGCAATTAACGAAAAGTGTTACAAGCCTGCGGCTAGATATTGAAACAGAGCGAAGTGTTGGAAAAGATTAGGAAAACAGCCGTATCAATGTGTCCTGAAGTCTCGACAAACTCCTTTAACTTGGATCCCTTTTCTAGAACTGGTACTCCGCTATACATCAGCCTGCAGCGAGGACTATTCTCCGATGTACATGTAAAACAACCGTAAGCGAAAAGCTGTCGCACTAAAGACTAGATTGTATAAATAGGGTTAAAGCGTGTTACGTGGTTACAGCATACAATATGCAGTATTATGGCGTGAATATGTAGTGTCACAGCGCGCGATATCTATAGAGTTGATAAATTGGGTAACAGAGTACGAAATATAGAGTATGGTCACTGTGTGCATGAAAGTATGGCCGCTGTACACAATGATGGATGATACATGAAAGTATGGCCGCTGTACACAATAAGGTATGATACATGTAAGTATGGTCACTGTGTACATGAAAGTATGGCCGCTGTACACAATAATGGATGGTACATGAAAGTATGGCCGCTGTACACAATAATGGATGATACATGTAAGTATGGTCACTGTACACAATAAGGTATGATACATGTAAGTATGGTCACTGTGTACAATAAGGTATGATACATGTAAGTATGGTCACTGTACAATAAGGTATGATACATGTAAGTATGGTCACTGTGTACAATAAGGTATGATACATGTAAGTATGGTCACTGTGTACAATAAGATAGGATACATGTAAGTATGGTCACTGTACAATAAGGTGAGATACATGTAGGTATGGTCACTGTACAATAAGGTATGATACATGTAAATATGGTCACTGTACACAATAAGGTATGATACATGTAAGTATGGTCACTGTGTACAATAGGGTATGATACATGTAGGTATGGTCACTGTACAATAAGGTATGATACATGTAAGTATGGTCACTGTGTACAATAGGGTATGATACATGTAAGTATGGTCACTGTACAATAAGGTGTGATACATGTAAGTATGGTCACTGTACAATAAGGTAGGATACATGTAAGTATGGTTACTGTGTACAATAAGGTAGGATACATGTAAGTATGGTTACTGTGTACAATAAGGTAGGATACATGTAAGTATGGTTACTGTGTACAATAAGGTAGGATACATGTAAGTATGGTTACTGTGTACTTTAAGGTATGATACATGTAAGTATGGTTACTGTGTACATTAAGGTATGATACATGTAAGTATGGTTACTGTGTACAATAAGGTAGGATACATGTATGATTGCATACGAAAAGGTATGTTACAGGTTAGGCTAGTGTTGTAATACCAACATTCACCAATTTCCTGGTTTATCGGAAATTTTCCAATTCTAATCGTGTCCACCTTAGGCAGGTAGTTATTAAATTCTGAATACTTTGCGTTGTACTCTGTTCGTACACATAACTTTAACATGTACATCCAGCATATTTAACCTTTACGAATTCCCTCGATTCATGTCTGTTTTGAGAAACTGGAAATCATTACATGAATACACTGAATAGTCACCTGTAAGTTTGTCAGGACTGACAATGGAACCGTTACCAGAATCATTTAGATGTTCTATAAATGTCTTGGAAACCGTTATTATCAAATATACTATTATACCGTGAATAGTTCTATATAACAACACTATAATGGCTAATGAAGTACAACCTATTTGTATGCAATCAAAGTTGTCGTAAAGAGTTGCACCGCTGCGATCAACTCTACGTAAGGGGAGATAACCTAAATATATGGTGAAATGCCTGACTAAAAATTTGATATCTATAGGCATTTCGGAACGCATTGATAATACATATGCCCCGTCCCTTTTCTACTACAGTCTACCAATCTACTCCATCTAATTTTGGATTATGTCAGATATTTACACGAGAAATGGGGTGGTAATAGGTACAAGTGCGGTTCTAATCTTTTATTTTTTTAAGCTGTGAGCAAGTCCATCGTTTTACAATTTTACAAGGGGCCAGTTTATACCTGTAAGTGATAATTTAAGGTGTATTATTGTCTAAAAGTAGTTTTGGAATGAAATGTCACATTAGCAATCTCAGTTTGGAGACCAAAGGTTGCACCAGTCAAGGTTCTTTTTTATCATTTCTGCAACACTTCAGCTGATAAGAAATGGCTTGGTAATCAATGACTGATGACGCACAGCCCTTACAATTTTTTTAATGTCCTACTGATGTTGGGGGTCCCAGACAGGTGACACGTTCTCTATAATGAAGCTACAAGAACATAATTCTAAAGTTCCATCCAGGAACACGGAGTCTTAACACTTTATTTGATTTCCTTCAGATCTTGTTATAAACTGACTCCTACATAATTGTCTGTAAATATACGTGAACTTTTAAACTTGTTAAACTATATGAATGTGAAGGGTATGTGTTTAGATAACAGATTTCAGAATCTTGATCGTTCAATGGCAGAAATATTTACCGCCAAATGAATGTTCTCAGGTCGAATGTAGTGTATCATCATGAAAATATTTGAGAAGTAGTGATCAATCTTAAATTTATTTTCACGAGCTCCTTTCAACTTTGATACTGAAAACAATGGTTACCTCCAGTTAAAAATTAAGAGTTTTAATAATTCTATGAGTAGGCTCAATATTTAAGGAGAACATGTCTCAGGACTCGCATTTAAACTTATCACCTGAAGAAAATCACGTTATGAAACATACCATAGATTAAGCAACAGATGATAGAACTATATACGGGCGTTTTAAATCGGTGAACGAAGCTGAGAATCAGTAATTACACGCATGAACGAACAACGAGCCTGCTGTTCTGAAAAATGCATCCGGGTGTAGAAACAGCTTTATATCTATTGCATAATTTCGACTCATATAATGATGATATGAGTACAACATGAAGCATACCATGGCAAAAAAACCTAGTATGTAAACACCACATTAATATATTGTATACAATATACATACATGTACTCTGGATAATTATGTGGTAACGTTTTTCATGTGACACCGACTACGTAACAAAATTTGTAGTATCTTATCAACACCAACCTAAACAAAAACTTTGATATTGTACATATACAATTTTCTTAAAATTCTTGTTGAGGTACATCTACGTTCATAAATAACGACTATGTGTTCTCTTAGCCTGCGTGCAAGTGAACTTATAAAAACGGAAACGAGCCCGGACACTGATTATACTGTGATATGTAACCTCTATTTAGGAGATATTGTGAAAACCTACCTGTCATATGACCTTCCAAAGCCCGACAGACGTCATCTCCAAGTCAGGAAGGTTTTATCTCGATAATCACATGAGTTATCATCCTTCAAAACTCCTTCACACATTAGGTACGTCAAAGCGGTGTAGAGGGCCAATTTGCCGGCCCTGTTAAAAAGTCCGGTCTATGAGATAAGGGAGATAACTTGTACAGTCCTAGTGACTGACAGAATACCAGTAATACCACAACACATTAAAAAATGTTATTTTCCATTAAAAATACCGTAGAAGTGTATACTTTGAAAGTAAAATAGATAGGTAAAACAATAATCAATTCATCATTTCCGTAAAAACACACCTTTTTCTACCATCGAAAAACCAAACCAACTTTACAATAACTAGATGCAAACTTATCCTTGATTATTGCGACCAGTACAGTGTTCCCGGGAAAGTTTATAATTGTAGAAACGCCCCGTGTATTAGATCCCTGCTGCACATATGAAGTCACTGGAGTTATGTACTCAGTGGCAGACTGTACATAGCGTACGTATATGACCTTGTTAACAGTAAACAGTATATAACATAACTGATAATTACTACTGATTGCAAAGTGCACTTACATCCGCTTGCGATTTAGACAATTTATAGTCATTTCTGCACGACATTACAGATCAGATAAACAAGGGTTTTACGTACTGGAACTTAGTGAAAGCGCAGCCTTTCTGTACGGAAACAGAAATAAATCTACTCCATACTGCTGTGTTGGAAGCAATAGGGAGACTCTTCAGACGTTCAGAACTGCATCATATAAATAATTGTCGCCGGAGTGATTCAGTATTAAAAATGTCACATATTAGGATGTACAAACTTTAATGAAACCATGACAACTCGGCTGGTACGCCATCACCCTGTCACTTTGTTATATGTGATTACTGTTAAAGTGATGTCGGTGACAACACAACAGATTATGAATATTTCTTTCTAAGAGTTTATAACAGCCATGTTTCATCGATCACTTCAGCTGCTGAAGAGGTACACCAGCAACAATTGATTGTTACCGACATCAAATTGCAGGAAAGGAGGCTCTTTAGCGAAAAGAAAGCTTTGAATACATTATAAAGCCGTTCCTTCGTGCATGTTGAAACGGTATGCTTTTTCAGATGTATTAGTGTTTGGAGAACGTCACACCAAATAGGATTATCATTAGCTGTGTATTGAGACGCAGCTTTTTAATGTTTTGTATTTAGCTTTTTTATTTGTCAGTTTACCTTGTTTTATTTTCATTTCTGTTTTGATAAATAATGTTGAATGGCATTGTATTAGCGATAACTAAACGCTTAATCTATATACTAGGTTAATAAATGATAATGAAGAGTCGAGCTTCACGTTTAAACATGTGTGCAACAACTGTTTGATATCTGTATAAATGGCCATCGTAGTTTTTAAGTGCGAAGTTGAATGGCAAAAAAGACAGGTTTCGGTAAACCAAGTTTCTGTAAAAGATATAACAGGACTGTTGTCGTTGATATTACCTGTTATGATGATTAAGGAATTAGATATTTACAAAATACTATCAAGTGAGACAAGGCCCCAAAATGCCGTTATCGAGTGTCCCTTATTGAACAATTAGCTGTAAAACTACATGTAGAATACTGACCTTTGCTGAAAAGTAATGTCCTCTACTGACCCCTGAAAACTAATACAAGGTCGTAGTTTATAAACAAGATATTGTTTGGTGTTGACTTGGAAAGAAATGTATACAATTCGTTTGTTATTGATTTTGAAAGGACAATACAATGGATTAAGTATATTTTCATCAGTGTAATCATGTGTTATGGTCATTTGTAAATGTGTGAGGTTTGACCCAAACAATTGTGACCTTGACCTTGCCTAAAACCCCCGAAACTGGAGTTTTAAACAGTGTTTTTCGAGAGATGAAGTAGCTTGAGGGCGCTGACTCTTGGTTTTAAAAGAAATAGTATCAGTAATATTGATTTTGACGCAACTGCACAAACATTTGACTTCTTCAAGTTATTTGATGTTTCATAAGTTAGTGGAGTTTTATAAAAATCCATCAAGGAATGAAGCCACTAGAGCATGGGGACTGATAAACAACAGAAATAAACAACCCATATTGTATGGTTGTATATAACAGTCAGAATATCGGTGACGGTTCCTGTTCCTGAACGCCACTAAAGAATTTCATATCAAGATGTGTACTTTGATTTAAGTCAAAGTAGTATTAAATTTTATGAGTACGAATACATGAATGTAGGGAAAACATTAAACAATTTACAAAATTTGCAAAACAATCTAAAAGTGTAGCTTCATATCACATAATAAAACATTTTAAAGCTAACACGTCTATAGCTGTTTGCGTTTGTGTATGATACGTAACTACGTGCAGTTTACGAAGTGTAGCCAAGCATACTGTGTTTAAGATAGTAAGGACTTGTTTGAATTTTAACCGTACGCTAGGGGAGTGCACATACACAGTTAATATGGGGAGAGGAAGGTGTAGGGTATGTAACCAGTTCACAGATATAGGGAAGAAATAGGAGAATACAAAGAACGAGGAAACGGTAAGTACACATGTCTACAAAGTTATCAGTAGAATATTTAATATTTACTCGTGAGTGTTTACGACATACCCAAACACTTATGTATTACAAGGTCAGATTGTCTCCATATTTAACTTTAAGGTGTGTTTACCTGATAAGCACATACGCATCTAGGTCTACTCCATTATATATTATTGAATTTTATTCACATCAGCTGACTAAGGTTATGGTATTGTACAAATTTTGAAAAAGTCTGCATTGTATGATTCTAAACAAAATGGAACACACCATTGTCTGTTCTATTAACAGCGGTATATCATAAGCTTATCTTTCCCGATAGTGTATCTCTATGGGCTAGCATATGACAATTCTAGATATCACACCTGTGACATAAAGGGCCTAAAATCTTGTCAAGGGTTGATGAAGTGTTGGTATATTTAAATATAATGCATATTTCAATAAATATTATGGTGTTAAAATCAAAATCATAATTTTTATGACCTACTTTTTTCAATATGAAACATGAAAAGGTGATTTGTCATTGTATTCATGTCTTAACTTTCCATTCGTAAGCAGTCGATGGGCCAGATATATTGTGCACTGTACTGAAAAACAGCTAAGTGTCTATTAAAGTTGCGGACCGAAACCCGGATGAAATGATATTAGTCAGACCTGAAAGCTAGCTTTTGGCACGGGTTGGCGAAAAGTATTTTTATCTTCCGAGCAATGCTATGACAGCGCCAACATCACGTTATCACACCAACTTTACAATATCCGAGCCAGAAAGGTGATGAAGAAAGTTGTTTCTGACTAAAAGGATTTTATCAACTTCAATGCATTAACCTATCAATACACTGATATCTTTCAATTTTCTACTATTCTTTTTCGTAACTAGTTACATTTGAAATTTTAAATTAACTCTCCAGCATTGTGACATAACGCCTCTGCATCAGCCACTTCACTCGATCTTACAACAACCAATGAGGTCAGGTTCTCACTTTGATGTATCATAACCATGATGGTTTTAATTTTTATTGAACAAAAGAAACACAAGATAACAAAACCTTTCAATGTTGATTTAGATTGATATGCAAGTGGAGCCAAATAATGAATTAAACCGCAACATACAGCTGTCTCCCCATTCTAGGTGCCAGTGATGTGTAGGACGCAGGCCCTTCTGAAACCTTTGATCGCATTGTTACTCCGAGAATGTCCTCTTGCTTAAACTATTTTGAATCTGAAAAACGATTTGCTAAAAAATGAGTGTTTCGTATTTGTTGTTTACACATCGGTGATAACGTTTCTATTTTTTTTTTCACAGTTGCTGGAAAGGTTTGCAACCGTCCGATTGTTATTTGTACAAAGATGTTTGGGTTACAATAATTCTCAATATCACGTGGCATTTATGATCACACTATCTCATTAAGCAAGAAACTGCCAAAGGCATAAAGATTAAACGGCAACTTCGTTTTGAAAGAAGCCAAGTAATACATCTATATTGTCATACTTTTAACGTATTCACAACATGAAGTCACGTTGTTTATGACAAATTGTCACGAAATATATTTTGAATCCAGCTTCACCTTGCTGTGTTATTAAAACCCATTAAAAGATCTGTTCAAATGAATTAATATAATCAAGATTTAGTTTGCTGTTTTTGTCATTTCTCGGAAGTATTTGAATTTATCGTGATGCCAAAATAAGTGTTACATAACTCGTAAATTACTGGTAATACAAAAGAAAACAGTAAACAACGGTATCAAGTTTATTCAGATCACCCGGACAAAAATTGTTAAAACATATCCTCAGAAATTCAGTAGCCTTTTGTACTTCCCTGGATGATAGGAGCCCAATGTGTTGCACCTGTAACATCCTCAAAATGATTTCTGCTAATGAACCCTAAAGCCAAGAGTAATCGCCTGCATTTGGAAAGACATGTTTTTCTCATCAGTCAAACATTTGTCTCATAAATCACACGGATCTAAGATAATTGTGTATCAAAGGGATAAAATGCATTGTGAAAATTTTCCGAATTTTCGAAAATCATATTTGGTTTGTACAGTTGCTGACATAAGCGATCATGTGTAGTTGATAGCTTACATAAACTACGTTTTGAATATAAGATCACGTGAAGGGAGGCCCTTCGAATATTGGTCAGTGGATCCTGTTTTAAATGTCCACTACAATTAATCCAGCACAATTGTATCAAGGACAATGGCGGAATTACAGAACCTAAAATAATGCGTATTTTGTTAAGATAGCCCAGTATACATATCATTAGCGCCAGTCAGGAGAGAGGACGGTGCGTGATCCACCGGGGTGTCCAATACCATACCGGACACTGACCAACACCACTTGTTGGTCGTAACTAGCCGTGGGGATATTCACATATAATTCAACTATTTCAAGAGAGTACAATGCACGAGTTTGATCAATTCAAAGAATGTCAGACACGGACAAACAGAATGTCAACGAATTTCAAAGGCTGTTGTCACTTACTGAAGGCGTGCCAGACCGAATGATGTTTTTATTTGTTTATGATAAATGGTCAAAGTCAGCT